GCATTAAGATACAAATGACTGTTTTATTTTACTTTATTTTATATTTTGCTTATTTCTTTATCTTTGAAAAATAGAAACAACATGGACAGGGTTGGGAAGCAGAGATAATACAGAATATTATAAAGTTAAAAGTGTAGTTCTGCATTTGCTCTGGCCATGGACCCAGTTCTACTCCTGAAAGGAAGCCACTGTCGAATATGTTAATAAAGCGTATACTTCATATTCCTTTGAACTGTGAATAAGATTGTGTCAAAATATATAATAACCAAAACAGAAATTAATAGATATAATATTGACACATAGGATATTTTAAAATATGTTTTTCAGTCTTTCATAAATCACACAGGAAACAAATAAGGTAGATTATGGAGGCTACGATAATAAAATGAACAAAATACCTTAATAGCTGCATTAAAAAAATTTTTTTTGGGGGGGCGCCTGGGTGGCTCAGTCGGTTGAGCGTCCAACTTCAGCCCAGGTCATGATCTCGCGGTCCGTGGGTTCGAGCCCCACATCGGGCTCTGTGCTGACAGCTCGGAGCCCGGAGCCTGTTTCAGATTCTGTGTCTCCCTCTCTCTCTGACCCTCCCCTGTTCATGCTGTCTCTCTCTGTCTCAAAAATAAATAAACACTAAAAAAAAAAAATTTTTTTTTTAAATTTTTTTTAATGTCCATTTATTTTTGAGAGAAAAACAGAGTGCAAGTTGGGGAGGGGCAGGGAGAGAGAGAGAGAGAGAGAGAGAGACACACACACACAGAATCCGAAGCAGCTCCAGGCTCTGAGCTGTCAGCACAGAGCCCAATGCAGGGCTCAAACCCACAAACCGTGAGATCATGACCTGAGCTGAAGTTGGATGCTTAACAGACTGAGCCACCTGGGCACCCCAATAGCTGCATATTGAATGTTATACCTTTCACATGGATACCTTTCCAGTGTCAGTGGAATTTATTATCAGGCAAGAAAGAAACTATTGAGAAAATTTAAGAGTGGAAAATATATACAGCACATTTTCAGAGCCCAATACTCTAACATAATTACTAATGAAATTTTAAATAATTTTTTTTTTTAGATTTTATTTTTAAGTAATCTTTACACCCAACATGAGGCTTGAACTCATAACCGTAAGATCAAGAGTTGCATGCTCTATCGACTGAGCCGGGCAGGTGCCCCAAAATTCTAAATTCTAAATAACCAAAATACTTGGAATTTAAACTAGAAATGTATTTGAACATGAAGATCCATAATATGTAGGAACGACTATCCAGATTCTAGAATCAATTTCCCTTACGTGTTTTTTTCTTTCATAGACCTATATACACACACAGAAGATTATGAATTAAACCTTAGTTTTAATAATGATACAAAGAAAACATTGATTTTTATTTTGTGAAGAAAGGCATATAAATGTTGTTGTTAACCCTAATGAAATTATAAAAAGTTGAATGAGCACACTACTTACGGGAAAAAGTAGCATTTTCTTAGAATGGATTCTTTTTCTTGTTGATTTTTACTACTGTGACCATTGAACTTAATGAAAGAAAACCAAAAGAAATGCACTTTGCTTATGCACATATACCAGATAATTTATCTCCTATAGAGAAATAAAAGTGATGTTCAGGAAAACCTACGAAGATGTGGCTGAATTAAATCATATTTTCCCAACATAAGAATACGATAATGACATCATACTCCAGAATAAAGAAGTAGCACAGTTTTCTGTTTGACTTTGAGCAGATGCCTCTTGTCTACTGCTGATCACATCAATTGTAGCTTCATCCACCATTTCAAATGGTGCCTGAGCGTCTGGTTGACGGACAGCCAATCAGATGAGGATTTCGTCTTTCTCCATAACAAAACCTGTTGCTGGAAGTCAGGTTTTCTTAGTTTACTAACTACTGTGTGTCTCTTAATCTTAAGCACTACCACAGAAACATCCTGCCCCTAGGACTTCCTATCAATATGGCTATTGTTTTACTCTCCACTCACTGCTCAGCATTTTCATCTATAAGGGTTAATTCCAGAGTCTCCTGAACTGTAACTCTCACAAATGAAGCACCTGAAGAAATGGAGTCCTTACCATGAGTTACAGACTAGCAGGTGGAATGGTGGGGCTGGTCTGGATTTTCCTCCTTCCTTGTTTTCTGTGTATTTATGCTTTCCCCAATTTTTCCCATGATGGCCTAAGTACATTTATTACACTTCCTGGGGTAGGTTTTGTTTAGTTCTTGTGTTCTAAGAACTGGTTAGTTATGTAACACGTTTTCTAGTTCATTTGCTTTGTTGCTATTCTTTCTTTGGAATATTCTTGTCATTCTTTAAACAACTTTTTTAGTTGTTTACTTATTGAAAAATTCTTCCTTTTCCTTGATAAGGAATGAAGGCATTGGAGGTCATGAAGTTTCCTCGTGGTATATTTTGCCTCATGTGTTTTGATCTGTATTATTACTATTTCCATTATTATCATTATTATTACTACTATTTTATTCTTTTCTACTGATCATCATAAAATTTCCAATCTGTTGAGCTTTGCTTTGCCCAGTCACTTTTATTGCTAATTATCTTTTTTATTACATTTTTTAAATTATATTGCTGTCAGAAGAAAAAGGCAGGCCATACTCTCTTCTTTGGGGATATTTTTGAGGTGTTCTTTGTGCAATATTTACAGTAAACCACAGTAATAATTTCTTAATGTTTTCAAAGAAAATGTGTTTGAAAATGTACCCAGGTTTATAAACTGTTCTAAATTTTCTCTATTTGATGTTTTTCATATTTCAACAATAATGTATAAATGTTTGCTATATGAAGTATGACAATATACTAAAGATGTATAAATGCAAAGTTTATCATCTCCTTGCCCCTTTCCCTAAACTCTTGTTAAGAGCAAGAAAAGTTTCTTCTATTTTTTCATAATCTTTTTTTTAAATGTTTATTTATTTATATATTTTGAGAGAGAGCGCGTGTGCGTGCATGAGTCGGGGAGGGATGGAAAGAGAGAGAGAGAGAGAGAGAGAGAGAGAGAGAGAGAATCCCAAGTAGGCCACACAGTGTCAGTGCAGATCTCGACACGGGGCTCTTGATGTCACAAACCATGAGACTGTGACCTGAGCTGAAACCAAGAGTCAGACGCTTAACTGACTAAGCCACCCAGGTGCCCCTCGTAGTCTTTAACACATACCTATTTAACCTTTTAGTCATTATTTTATCCTCTCTTAGTTTTTCTTAATACTATCTGAGAAAAGGGTGTTAATTGTTCAGTTTTTATATTCTTGTTGCCTCTTATTCTACCTCTTGAAGTTTGTGCTTCATATATTTTGATGCTTTATGTGTTGTATAAAGTTCCATGATGTTTACTTATTAATTGTGCATAAATATCTTTAATTATTACTAAGTGAACCTCTTTGTGTTACGTATTTCTTTTTGCCTTAAATTAAACATCTCGCCATTACTTTCTTTTTCTTGAATTGGCTGACTACACTTTTGTTCCTACTTTCATTTTTAGTCTTTCTGACATCTTTTATTTTCAGTGTACAGGTGGTTGGGTTTTGTATTTTCACCTAATCAGTCTTTATACTTATAAATTGATTTTTAAAATATTTTTATATTATACTTATTTATATTTATTATATATAATAATATAAATTGATAAAATTTTTAAAAGGAAGAAACTATTTTGTTCTATTTCTTTCCTTTATTTTTATGCATTAAATATAACTTTCTAACTAGGTTTCTTAAAAATAATAAGGAAGTAGGGGCGCCTGCGTGGCTCAGTGAGTTAAGCATCCAACTTCAGCTCAGGTCATGATCCCACAGCCTGTTGAGTTCGAGCCCCGCATCAGGCTCTGTGCAGACAGACAGCTCAGAGCCTGGAGCCTGCTTCAGATTCTGTGTCACCCCCCCTCTCTCTCTCTGCCACTCCCCGACTAGTGCTCTGTCTCTCTCAAAAATAAAATAAAGACATTTAAAAAATTAAAAAATAATAATCATAAGGAAGTAGACTTACATGGCAAAAGAAAAAAAAAAGAAAAACAAAGAAGAGTGTATAATAAAAAATATAAACTACTTTCTGAATTTTTCCTACCCGTAGTCCCACTTTCCAGAAATAACTTAAGATTTTCTGGGTTTGTTTTTCTGGTGGTTATAATTAATACTTTAAAGTATATTGCTGTCTTGATTCCTTCCATATCTTTTAAGTCTCCTTCCCTTTTCAGCTCTCAATATGTATTCATTATAGTATTCTCTTTCATTATCAGTATTTTCAACACTTACATACGGTTGTACAATTTCCAGTGATTCTGTGGGCTGACTGGGCTCTGCTGGGTCAGGCTTCTGCTCTGTGAGAGGTGAGCTGACTCGGATTCCTCTGAGCTTTCCCGAGGGCTGTGTCATTCAGATGGCTCACTCTCGGGCGCTTGCTGGGGGCTGGAAGTTTAGCTGGGTCTGTTGACTGTAGCACCTTCAGGTGGCCTTCCCACGTGGCCTGTGCTTTTTACAGAGCGGTTTCTGGGTTCGGAGAGGTAGCTGGGTTCCAAGAGCTCCAAGAGGAAAGGAAATAGAAGCTGCCAGTCCCCTCAAGGGCTAGACCTGGCCTGATGTCACCCCCTCTCCAAGTGTGCTGGATGTTTTTTTAATTAAAACAAATTTTTTAATGTTTATTTTATATTTGAAAGAGAGGGAGACAGAGTGCAAGCAGAGGAGGGGCAGAGAGAGAGGGAGACACAGAATCTGAAGCAAGTTCCAGGCTCTGAGCTGTCAGCACAGAGTCCGACACGGGCCCTGAACCCAGGAGCTTAAGATCACGACCTGAGCCAAAGTCTGACGCTCAACCTAGTCACCCAGGAGCCCCTTTAATTTTTTTTTTAATGTTTATTTATTTTGGGGAGAGAGAGAACAGGGTTGGGGCAGAGAGAGAGGGAGACAGAAGATCTGAAGCAGGCTCTGCACTGTCAGCACAGTCCCCAATGCGGGGCTCAAACCCATGAACCATGAGATTGTGACCTGAGCAGAAGGCGGTTGCTTAATTGACTGGGCCACCCAGGTGTCCCCACTGTGCTAGATCTCTTGTCTCTGAGCGTAGAGCCTCTCCAGATGCTTCCCCAGGGAAAAATCTCTCTTACTTCTGATATTTGGGGTTGTGGTATTACTTACTTTTTTTTTGTCCCTGCAAACTCTTCTGTCTTCCATGAATACTTCCAACTTTGTGGTCTATGCTCTTTCTCCACTTTCCAGCACTCTTGCCATTGAATTGTCTTTCGGCTTCTTTTCCACCTTCTCAGAGGATCCTGGGGAGGAAGGGGAACATAAAAATAAATATTTTTAAAAATAATAAAATAAAATAACCCTGCTATCTGAGAGAATCTCGAGGTCATGAATTTGAGCCCCACATTGGTGTAGAGATTACTTAAATAAATATTTTTAAAAATAATAAAATAAAATAATAAAAACATATTTCTTTCAGAAGCCATAATCACAATATTCAGGAGCAATGGGTACCACAGTTTTAAACTATTTAATTCTGTTTAGTAGACTACAGTATTTATTGCTAATCTATCTCCATTGTAGCTTCTTAACTTATAAATTCTAAATTTGATTATTCTCTCAGATAGCAGGGTTATTTTTAAGTAGATTTTTCAGAAACATTTTATTAATACTAAAATTTACAAAGCTCTTACATATTTAAGATTGTGTTTCTCAAGGCTTTACATTTGGAAGATATCCTGGCTAGGCTAAGAATTCTGTATCATATTTTTTTCTTTGCAACATTGCTCCATTACCTTGTTTCTAGTGTCTCTGTGGATAGACATCCAAGGCTTGCCTGATATATATTATTTTTCTTTAAAGGTGATAAGTCTTTCCTGGATGCTTGTAACACGTTTTTCATACTTGAAATTCGTCAGGATATGTCTTGACCTTGATCACTTTTGATCTTGTCTTGATCTTGTCACTGTTTTCTTGATGTATTCTTTTTTAATCCTTATTTATTTTTGAGAGAGAGGGTGCACACGTGTGCACATGTGGGCAAGCAGGAGAGGGGCAGAGAGAGAAAGACAGAAGATCCAAAGCGGGCTCTGCATTGACAGCAGTGAGCCCAATGTGGGGCTCGAACTCATGGACCATGAGATCATGACTTGAGCCGAAGTCCGACACTCAACTGACTGAGCCACTCAGCCACTCCTTGATGTCTTGTTTTAACCTGAAGATTTAGATTTCTTCTTTCAGGAGAATCTTCTTTTATCAACTGTGAATATATATATATATATATATATATATACATATATATATATATATATATATTGGCTCTCTTCCCTAGGAACATTTATGTGTGTCTTGAATCTTCCTCTTTCTTTTCATATCTATAATTCAGATGTTAGCTAAGGCCTCTTGGACCTTTGAAGATCTAAATAATTGGTTTAGTCCCCAGTCAACTTCAGGACCTATAAAAGATCAAAGACTTCACAATATCAACTAAATCCTGTATCTCTCTTTCTCCATATGTCATAGATACAAAACTATGAGCATACAAAACTACATACCCTTTTTAAAAAAATTAAAAAAAAATTTCTCCCAGAAATGGACTGACATTGATATTTAATGACCTTTCCTTGAATCTGGTTAAAATTTGAAAAGCTATAAGGAAGGGTTCCTATCACAGGACTGGATCATCTTCTTCTCTCATTATTCTTTTTCCACTTCTGCTCCTCATCCCCTCCTTCCTTGTATTTGTGCACAGTAACTTCCCTCTTTCTTTTTTTTTTATTTTTAACGGAAGCGCATGCTTCTGCTCTTCAGTTTTTTTTTTTTGGGACAGAGAGAGACAGAGCATGAACGGGCGAGGGGCAGAGAGAGAGGGAGACACAGAATCGGAAACAGGCTCCAGGCTCTGAGCCATCAGCCCAGAGCCTGACGCGGGGCTCGAACTCACGGACCGCGAGATCGTGACCTGGCTGAAGTCGGACGCTTAACCGACTGTGCCACCCAGGCGCCCCCCCTCTTTCTTTAATAAGACATTTTTACCAGCTTATCAAGACTGGAGCCAGAAGTGGGTGGAGGTGGGGACGTTAGCACTCATTTTCTACTCTTAGGATCCACTCTCCCAAACAAAGGGTTTAGTCACAGCTGCATTCAGGTGTTTAAATGATGTCATCAAGATTATATTTCCCACTTTACCTCTCAGGTTATGTTTGTCTCTGCTTTTTTTTTTTTTTCTCTGCTCCCCTATGTGACCTAATTCTCTTCTGATACAAATAAATGCATTCTACGTGTAGAAAATATGACTCCTGGTAGTACCAATCATATGTATAACCATATAATTCATGGTATAAAAATGAGAGACTCCCTCTCTTTCCCAATATTTCATATATCAAATCCCTTGAAATAAATGAGATTGGATTTGCTTGGGTCAGTGCCCAATCTCATTGCGTTAACATGGCTGGGGAGTTGTGATTGGATGGAATGCCTACCCCCATCATCATTCCCATGGGAATCCTATGGGCTCTGGGAAGACCAGCTCCCTGGAGTAGCGAGTGTTGTGGCTCTGAGAAGACAAAAACAACAGGTGTTTATATACCTCACACTCTTTGATATGGAAATGTTCCCTCTCCCTCCCTGGCTCATCCTTCCTTGAGTGAAGGGTTACTTCCAGGACCTTGGGGAAACTTTTCACCTAATATCAATATTAGTATCCTATTAAAGATTTGGGGAACTAGCCTGGCTTGTGTTTTCATCTCTTTTGTGATTGTTTTTTGTCTTCTCAGCAGATTTCGGGGGGAGAAGTTACAGTAGGAAGTTACTTTTATGAAAGGCCTTTTGTTTGTAGCTTGTGAAACATGGTAGAAACTACAGAGCAAATGAGAATGAAAAGGAATGGGGAATAGACTGAAGGAAAAAAAAAATGACCTAATAAACCCCAGCCTCTCAGAGTGAAATGAATTGTAGCAGTGATTCCTCATGCAAGGGGCTCAGTGAGTTACATGAGGCAAGTCATGGCAGGGTGATTAAATCAGTAAAAATGCTCAGTCAACTGGGTATCTGAGTGGTACTGGAGTCCAAGAAAAATCTTGCTTTGAAGCTATTTGCTAAAGGCAATACGCATTCACTGAACACTTAAGATTTGTCAGGCACTGTGCTAAGTACCGACTATAAACATGTCATTAAAACAGGCTATGTTTTAAGAACTTAAAATCTAGCTATTGTGTTGTATAAACTCTTTACTTCCTCCATACAGTTTATTCTTTATTATAAGTGATGATTTTAGGAGATGCTACTGTATTTATTTCCTTTCTAAAAGATACTTTTATGCTTAGTAATAGCTACCATTTGGTGAGGTCCTATTCTGTCATATACCCTCTATAAACACTATCTCTAATCCTCCCCCAAAGCCTATGAGCTAAGTGTGATTATCTCCATTTACAGGTGAGAACAGTGAGGTTTGAAGGAATTAAGTAAATTCCTCAAGGTCAAGAGGCTGAACCAGGTTTGAAACTCAAATCTCCAGGCTCTCTGTCTCCCACTGTGTTTTCTCCCTCATCGCTTCTCTCTCTGCATCTTCTCACCTTTACCTCCCTCAGGTAACTGCTTCCTGCTTTCATGGTTTCTCAGTTTGCCCCAGCTGTCCTCTCCCACTGGCCCATACCATTGCCTCTGGCCTGCACTTGGCTCGGTGTCCACCTGGTTCTGTCAGTTGTGACTGGTACAGGAGGGTTCATGGGTTCAGATGAGGACGGTTAAGTTTGGCCCTCAGAGGCAGAAGTCTCCTTAGAAGAGGATCCCACACTAGTGAAGATGACTGGCATTAAGCACAGTGAAGTGTAGTAGGACGTGCCCTAAAATGTGCCACTTGGCATAAGGATTATCTTGAGCTGAGCACCACTGAGAACAAAGAGATACACGAAAAGCTCTCTGCTTTCCCCCCATTTGCCAAAAAGCAAGGCATCAGTTTGTAAAGGTGCTCCCCTCCTTCCCATCTCTACCAGAGAGGAGAGAAATTAACCCCCAGAGACAACCCTAGGCCCTTATCAGCCTGGAGATGATGCCAGAGGAATCTACATAACAAACTTTATTAACTAGCCTTTATCTTCCTTAGTTTCCCGATTTATTTGCTTTCTTGCAATTTGCCACCACTAGGAGCTCAGAGTCATTTTCTTTTGTCTTGTCACATTTCCACAAAATTATTCTACAGAATTATTATTAAGATGTTACATAAGGGGGCGCCTGGGTGGCTCAGTTGGTTGGGCATCCTACTTTGGCTCAGGTCATGATCTCACAGTTAGTGGGTTCAAGCCCCGCATCGGGCTCTGTGCTGACAACTCGGAGCCTGGAGCCTGTTTCGGATTCTGTGTCTCCCTCTCTCTCTGCTCCTCCCCCACTCGCACCCTGTCTCCCCCGTCTCAAAAATAAACATTAAAAAAAATATAAAAAAAAAAAAAGATGCTACATAGGGGCACGTGGGTGGCTCAGCTGGTTAGGCATCAAACTCTTGATTTCAGCTCAGGTCGAGATCTCATGGTTTGTGGGTTCGAGCCCCATGTCAGGCTCCTTACTGAAAGCGCAGAGCCTGCCTGGGGTTCTCTCTCTCTGCCCCACCCCCATTCTCTCTCAAAAATTAATAAATATTTTTTAAAATGCTAAATAGGGGCACCTGGGTGGCTCAGTCAGTTAAGCCTCTGACTTCCACTCAGGTGATGATCTCACAGTTCGTGGGTTCGAGCCCCGCATCCAGCTCTGTGCTGACAGCTCAGAGCCTGGAGCCTGTTTCAGATTCTGTGTCTCCCTCTCTCTCTGCCCCTCTGCCATTTTCACTCTGTCTCTCTCTGTCTCTTAAAAATAAATAAACATTAAAAAAATTTTTTTAAATGCTAAATAAATTCTCTCTGAGTTACTCATCACAGAGTACTCCCACGTGTACAATGCACACGTTAGTAAACCTCCATTTTTCTCTTGTTAATCAATTTGTCAGTCTGATTTGCAGGGCCCAGCCACTAAAACTAAGATGGATAGGGGAAAAATATTTTTCTTCCCTACAGCAGACCTACCTGAATGGCACACTTTTATTAATTTATCAATTAATACGGCTTTTTAAAATTTTGTGTCATAGTTAGCAGGGGACTTGCCCGGAGTCATCCCACACAGATAAAAGAGCTAGCCAACATCTGAATTAAATGCAATATTGAAAAGTGACAGTCCAAATGTCAAAAAAAAAAAAAAATAACAGTTAAAGAATCATAGTACATAAGTTCTCATATTGTATAATCATCAAGAGTTATGTTTCCAAAAAAGTTTAATT